CCCAGCGCTGATGACTACAACTATGGCTATGGCGCCCAGCGCTGATGACTACAGCTAGCGCTACTACTACTGCCTAGCGCTGAAGACTACTGCAGCGCTCCTCCTGAGTGCTGCGGCCGAAATCTGAAGACTACCGTCCTACTCTCCAACTGCCTACCCGTTCAGTGCCTGAAGCTCCTATGTACTATCACGGGAGCCTCCTGACTCGGGCGAGCAGTCCAGGAGGCTGCTCTTGCCAAAAATGCCGAAGGGAGGCAGGGGCTGCAGCTGGCGTGGGAACAGGCCAGAAATAGCCTGTTGCGAAACCCAGTTTTCGTGCCTGAATCTTAGGGCAGGTCGAAACAAATGAGGGCCTAAAAATAGTCCAGGGCCTAAGAATAGCCCTCCGTTTCAGGCTGGAAAAACTCTGGGTCTGAAAGACCCAGAAATAGGCTGAAACGGAGTAGGGCCTGCAGRCCCTCGTTTTTCAGTTTTCAGGCTGAAACGACCGGGGCCTGTAGATCCTAAGTTTTAGGCTTTTAGGCTGAATGTCCGGGACGGGTCCTACAGGGCCCGTGTGGCTACGCAGTATGCCACAGTGGTGCTTGGGGGCTTTTGAAATCTGTTGAGTACTCGCACACTGGGACTTTTCCTGGATGAACTTGACCCCAAAGATGACCAAACTCAGTCCAAAAAGTCTGAGTATGCCCTCAGATTTCCATGCAATTGTGACTGCAGTTTGTCTGCTAGAGAAGTGATGCTTAAGTCAGTTGCTACACCTGAAGAAAGGATGCCACCGCCGCCATCAGTCCCAGTCCCACTTCCAGTCCCATCTCCAGTCCCCATTCATGTTCCCAGTCCCATTCCCAGTCCCTGTCCCTTTCTGTCCCTGTCCCAGTCCCCAGTCCCAGTCCCAGTCCCAGTCCCAATTCAAGTTCCATTCCCATTCCCAGTCTTAGTCCCATTTCCAGTCCCATTTCCATTCCCAGTTCCAGTACTAGTTCTAGTCCCAGTCCCAATCCCAATCCCAGTCCGAGTCCCCTTCCCAGTCTGAGTCCCATTCCCATTCCCAGTCCCATTCCCATTCCCATCCCCAGTCCCAGTCCCAGTCCTATTTCCAGTCCCATTTCCAGTTTCAGTGCCAGTTCCATTCCTAAGGTCCCAAGGTTCCATGTAGTATTTCCCTACACATAAGGTTATGCAAGTCTGGAAGGGTTTGGGGTTCTTGAATTTCATTTTTTGTTCTGTTTTCCATTCTTGAATCTTGAGTGCATCTGGAACGAATTTATCTGGTGATTTGGGGAATGGCGAATTTATTGAAGGAGGTTACTAATTTGAATTTCCAATTTCTGATGTGATGCCGTTGTGCGTGCGGCTCAGGCTTTTGCGGTTGACGAGAAAGATCCGGAGTTCAAGGCGCTTAATCCTACGCTATCGCAGAACAAATCCAAATTGGTCGACGAGCACTTCGATCTGGTCGGCAGAGATGACGAGGGCAGCATGGAAAGCACTGACGATGGCGACAGTGACGCTTCGGCTTACGGTTCGGACGATGACGGTCGCAAGAATGTGAAGGAATGGGATAAGAAACACGGTTTTGGGGCTAAGGAGAAAATGATGGGACGCAAGCAGCAGCCAGGCGGGAGAAAGGATGCAGGGCCAAGGTATGTGACAAAGTAATGTCTAGTCTTAATTTCTTACAACCCTTTTTTTTATAATTTAATTAATTAATTTAATTTCAAATTTCAACCAGTTCTCGATTTATGCGTGTTACTCTTGTGCAGGGACCATTTGCTAATTTACCCTTCTCTGTATCATTCCAATTTTAACGGATGTCCTCAAGGACCACTACTCTTACAAATTTTTGAAATCTCAAATCTTTAAATGTTGAAATTTAAGCCACTACCGTCTTCACCTGCCCAATCATTATCGCTGCATCTGGACCGAAAGTTGTGCCAAATACAGCTATAATGACTGGGCGTTTTATTCAGGTGAAGACGGTAGTACCTCCACCAGTGTTGGGAAAATAGGGAAAACTCAGAACTGGCAGTTTTCTCAAACTCGTAAAAAATCGGAGGCTGGGCCCGACAATGGCTGCCATTGATAAATCTGATTGGCGGCCGTCGTTTCATTTCGGCCTCTGAAAAGGTCGAAGGCCCCCCACCCGAGGCCCACTGTTTTCCCACTCGGCAAAAGTACTAGTGGTTTAATGCAAAATAATAAATAAATAATATAATATCATCCTATTAGTATATCAATAAGCAAAATTATATCATCCTATAATTCCCTTTTTTTTCTTTTTTTTTTAATTTGGACCATTTCTCGATTTATGCGTGTCATCCTCTTGCGCAGGGGCCATGCTAATCTTCTCTGTATCGTTCCAATTTTAACGGATGTCCCGAATGACGCCATCCTATAATTCCTTTTTTTTTTTTTTTTTTTTTTTTTTTTTTTTTTTTTTTTCTTATTTCCCCCCCCCTTTTTTTTTTTTTTTTTTTTTTTTTTTTTTTTTTTGCCATCCTATAATTCCTATTTCATTATATTATTTAAATTTTTTATGTATAGGTTACTATGTTTAAACTCTAAACCACCTGTGCGTTCCCAGCTATTTTGTCCTGACGCTGCCATCACCAGACAAATGGCATGCTGCGCCAATCTGGCAGGACCTGGGCCATGGCGGAGTACTGGTCGTGGAATAGAGGCTCAGACGGAGCGGTCTTTTATTCAGGTGAGAGGTGGGTGTCAGGACATACGCACACTAGGACATTGCTGGATGTGCATGACCACCTTTCTGGATATGCGCACATGCACCTGGCCGCCCTTATGTCCACAGAGAAGTTGAAAAAGTACTACCATCTTCACCCGAAAATAACACCCCGGCAATGTATACCATGGCTACGCTGGGCCGGACACCGGACCAGATCCAGATGCCGGACCTCCTGGTTCTATCCGGACAACCGAAAAACCGGAATATTCGGGAATATTCTGGAATATCCGGACCGTCCCGGATGTCCTGTCTGGATGTCCGTTCCGCTCTATCTCATGGGTGTAGCAGGGCTCAATTATGTCATTTGCTTTTTGCCAACGGCACGGAAAACAGAACACATGGGACCCGCCACGGC